AGATAATAGGTATAAGTATAAACATAGTTATGAATACATGAAATGGATACATATAAGAAAAATAAAAAGAAACAAAAGGACAGGAATGGTAGGTACTTGGTGCACTTATGCACGCCCCCTACAGACCTCTTAAGAAAGAGGTGAGGTCAATAGTAGACAGTCTAAGGTTAAAGTTTTGGGGGTTTGGGGAAGAAACCACACGGTCAAGTAGAGTATTCCAGACATTGATCACTCTGTTGCTGAAGTTGTATTTCCTGCAATCAAGTTTGGTGCGGTTTGAGTTTGTATCTATTGTGTGCTCTTGTATTGTTATGGCTGAAGCTGAAGTATTCATTGACAGGTAGGACAATGCAATGTATAATTTTATGTACTATACTTAGATTGGACCAAAGGCATCATATTTCTAGGTTGTCTAGGTCTAGAATTTCAAGTCTGGTGGCATAAGGTATTCTGCAACGAGTAGAGGAGTGGAGAACTCTTCTTGTGAAATATTTCTGGACTTTCTCAACTGTGTTAATATCAGATACATAATGTAGATGGGCAGCCATACAAATCTGATTAAGAAGTAAATAAATAAATAAACATTTACTTTCACAGTCAGTTTACTTCAGTGGGACTTGGATAATATGAAAGTTGCCTGTCAAGAATCTGCTGCAACATGGATGTACGTGGAATTTACATTTCAGTTCAGAATTAGAGAATATAGCTTGTACAGTAAGCATGTTTTCTTTAGTTCTGTTCATATAAAGCACCCTAATGGGTAAGTGCATAACATGAACAAGAATATTGAGTCCACTAGCCCCACAAATTAACCCTATTAGACAACACAGTGGCAACAGTAGATACCTTCAAGTTTCTAGGTTCTATTATGTCTCAAGACTTAAAATGGACACCTAATATCATCAAAAAAGCACAACAAAGAATGTTCTTCCTGAGCCAACTCAGAAAGCTCAGGATGCCCAAGGAGCTGCTGACACATTCTACAGAGGAATTATTGGGTCTATCATCTGCACTTCTATAACTATCTGATTTGGCTCTGCAACCAAACAAGACAGACACAGACTTCAACGGATAAGTAGAACTGCAGAAAAAACAATTGCTACTAGCCTGCCTTCCACTGAAGACCTGCATACTGCACAAGTCAAAAAGAATTCTGTGAAAATATCTACAGACCCCTCACATCCTGGACATAAATTGTTTCAACTTCTACCCTCAAAACAATGATATAGAGCAATGCACATCAAAACAACTAGGCACAAGAATAGTTTTTCCCCATGCCATCACTCTGCTCAACAACTAATTCCCACAACACTGTTAAACTATTTAAAAAGGCAGTATTACCATCATTATTCTCATCTTCCCTATTACCTATCTCCTTATCTTCTTATGACTATAACTTTGTTGCTTATCAATTTGTTGTATGTACATTGAGAGTTTACATACTGGAAACAAATTCCTTTTGTGTCTAATCACGCTTGGCTAATAAAGAATTCTATTCTATTCTGTTACATCAGATTAGTGTCTATGGAGATTCTCAGTCTTCCAGCTCATGGTTGTCCCAAAGGTGCTTTTTTAAGAGGCAACTGGACTTTCTGGTTTTAATTTGAAGACGTTTCGTTTCTCACCCAAGAAGCTTCTTCAGAGATTAGATTAAGCTTCAAACATTCCCAGATCCAATCAGAGTTAAATTGTAACTGCAAGTTATACCCAGGGAATTAACTAATCCTTTTTCTGTCTGTAGCAGAAATGACATCCTAGACAGCCCACCAATCCCTTGGACCATTTCAGTTCTCAGGCTAAATGGGAGGCAAAAAGGAAAGTGAAATGGGTAGAAGGCAGGTATGCTCACAATTTGCTCATTGTGATGGTGATCTCAGTCATCCCAAGATTTTACAGGCCATATTAAAAAGTAGGGAATGAACACTCCTTAACCCACTTGCTGGAAGAATTAAAAATGCCCAAGAGTTCACTGTCATAAATCATCCCTAAAAGCAGAGATGAGTTAATTGGCTGAGGAGGAGATTGCACTAGGCCAAGGGCATCCAAACTTAGCAAGTTTAAGACTTATGGACTTCAACTCCCAGAATTCCTGAGCTAACATGACTGGAGGGGGAATTCTGGGAGTTGAAGTCCACAAGTCTTAAAGTTGTCAAGTTTGAAGACCCCTGCACTAGGCCAACATGACTTTTATGCTTAATTTTAGTCCAAGGCGCTTAAATGTTTCTCAGGTTAATCATCTGAAATGTAATTGAATTAGAAACTTCAAAATCCATTCTGGGCATTGAGCAACATTTCTCTGTTATCTCTAAAAACAAGGCTCTGCACACAAGTTGAGAAGGCTTTGATGGCACACAAATAAAACATAAAATTATTTTATTTTTTCATGTCTTCTCTTAATATACTTCCAGAAATGTACTGTGAGTTTTTGCCAAAATTGTGTTTTCCACAAGCATCAGAATTTCAATTTCCAGAGTTCCCAGCCAGAATACCCTTCATGTTTCTAAAACATCTTCAAACTGAGGAAGCCATTTAGAAATAGAAATACAATCATAGGGCTCTAGTCCCTGCTCAAGGCAGGAGACCTTATACCAGGGGTCTGCAACCTTAAACACTCAAAGAGCCATTTGGATCCATTTCCCACAGAAAAGAAAACTCTGGGAACCAATAATTTAACAACCGGTGTGACTGGGTGGGCGTGGCCAACTCGACATCACTCAGTCCCACCCAGTCAGCTATAGAGTGAGTCTCCATCCCCTGCCATCCCCCGTTCCTTCTCAGGCCAGGCAAGGAATGATGGGGAGGGGAGGGGCCAGCCAGTGGTGGGATCAGCCAACTGGAAGCCACAGAGTCACATGTGGCTCCAGAGCTGCAGGTTGCAGATCCCTGCCTTATAGAAAAACAGTTGTCCAATTTCTTCTTAAAAACTTCCAATGCTGAAGCACCTATGACCGAAGCACCTAGAAGCAAGTTGTACTGATTCTCCCTGTCAGAAAATTTCTCTTTAATTCTAGATACTCAGTGTTAAAATTAGTAAAGTATTAAGAAGGAATCCTACACAAATCAATGTGAAGGCACATTTGTTTCTATCTGTGACAGATTCACACAACACAGAGTTTATATGACATGAAATAAGTCAATGAGGAAAGCTTTCTTGTCTCGTAAAAGTTTTCCCTAGGCTGCTGTCTTTCCACAATTCCAAATTCTTTCAAAGTCAACTTGAGAATCCTCATCTGGAAAATGGTGCTCCAGGTCTAAGTCATTTTCAGCATGTGACTCCTAAAGAATTTTTAATATTTCTCATTTTTTGGGACACAACCCAAAACTTTCTCTTCCATCAGCCTCGGAGTGTATGTGTATATGTGCGTACGTGTGTTTCTTTTTCGTTTTTCATAAATTCCATTTCTTTACCCCCAATAAAACAAAAATACCAGACCTTTGGAAAGCCAAACATTAAAGACAGAGATAGAAGCCAAATGGGGTACATTATTGCAATGGCTGCAAATATGATGTGTAAAGCAGAGCATGAAAGTCAGTGATTAAGTGGTAAAGAATACCAATTTTATTTCAGTTTTCTGCCAAATGCTTCTTGTGTGATCTTGGACAAGTCACTCAGGGACATATTTTAGAAAACAAAACAAAACACAAAACTGTATAAATAGAGATCAGGCCCACAATCTCTGCACTCCTCTCTTTCCTCCTTGTTAAAAAATGGCAGTTTAGACCTTCCTGTGTTCATCCATGAAATATAGAGATGTTGCATTTTGAAACTAAAGCACACTGGCAGAGGAAATCAGGCAGTGTAACTGTAATTGGATTGCACTTTTTTTAGTTTGCATGAAAAAGCCAGTTGGTGTAGAGCAGGGGTGTCAAACTCAAGGAGCCCATTTTTGCTGGCAGAGCGCTCGGGCTAACACAGGCACCCTCGACACAAGTGACATCAAGCTGGCCATGCGCACCCTGACCACGCCCTCCCCAGCTCCCCAAGGTCAAACACAACCCTGATGCAGCTCTCAATGAAATCAAGTTTGACACTCTAGTGTAGAAGTTAAGGCATCAGGGTAGGAACTGAAAACTAAGTTCTAGTCCCACCTTAAGTAGAAAGCCAGTTAAGTGACCTTAAGCCAGTCACTCCCTGTCGACCCCAGGAAGCAGGCAATGGCAAAACACTTCCAAAATCTTGCCTAGAGGACTCAAAAGCATCCAACAATTGCATGAGGCTTGTATTTGAATGTCCTTTCCCAAGTACACTTGCTGAATGTAGACACCGTCCTCTGCAAACTTTAAAAGGTTTTGTGAAAGTGATGAGCCTCATAAAGTATAGGAAAAGGAATAAGAAAGAAATATCACATTCCTGTCTAGGGCAATAGTTCATGCCCTTCCTCCATAGAGACAGAACCACTCAGTCATGTTCCTTTACCAATCATTGCCATTGTTTCCAAAAATAATAAATAAGTGAAAGCATTGGCTTTTGTTTGTGTTTCTGTTTGGTTTTGGTCAAGCTCCAGTTATTTTTCACTGGGAATTTGCCAAAGGAAATAGGAGGGAATAAACAGGAAAGTGCCATCTGTTCTGAATTCACTAGTCTGGAAAACAATCCTCTTAATTGAATGGAGTGCCTTTATCAATTTGTCCCTGAATATCTTTATAGGAGTCAAGAAAAGTCAAGATGGTGGCTGCAATCATGTGGTCAAAATTCTGAGTCTGTCAGATCTAAACCTTGTCTCCTTCTGTAAAAACAAATAAATAAATAAAAAACAAGCTACAATCCCAGCACAGCATCCATGCTATTATTTCAATCTGTGTTTTGGGAGGAAAGGTGGACAGGATAAAGCTATAGGGGAGGAATACCCGAGAAATGCTGTTGATTATTACATTTATAAATTGATTTCTTTTCTCCATAGCAGGATTTGTGAGCTGGACTGTCAGCAACTTTTAAGATCTCATTTTTAATTAATAAGCATCTAGAAAGTGAGAGTATGACATCTTCTGAACCAAGGCAGTGATTTCTTGCATAAACCAAGCAGCAATTTCTTTAAATGTCTTATTTATTCTTTGGTAACTTGAGGCAAACCACCCTTCTCTCAGCCCTCAAAATGCAACACAAGTTGCAGATTAAGATGGCTCTGTTCACCAGATCAACCTCTGGAGAATAATCACCAATATTTAAATATTGTGATGTGACAGGGGATGAGAAAAACAAAAGCTACAGAGGTATGTTAGCTTGGGGAAAAGATTTTTTTCAAAAAAAATGAGAGCATTTTTTGAATCTGTAGAAGGTTTTTATTCAGAAGATGGAAGACAGTGTTGTCCGCAAAGGCCAATGTGTGGGAATTTCAGGTAAGCCACTTTCAGCTAAACATTACAAGAAACTTCTTAAAATAGATTGAAACGAAAGAGATGGCTTCTGTACTGGAAAATATTTAAGCAAAATCTGGGTGGTCATATGAGAAGGATGCTCTTGTATCCTACATGGAACAGTTGACTGGTCCATATTGCTCCAACATCCTTTTGGGATCTGTAATTCAATAATTCCTGCACAATTAATTTTTTGGGGATCAACCACTCAATCTGTTATAAGTTCATTCATTCATTCTTTCTTTTTTCCCCTTACAAGAATTCAATGGAGATGAGTTTTCCTTGTGACTTCTTAACACTTCATTAACCTCAGCCTATTGGAAGACTTTCTGGGTGGCAGGACTAACCTCAGCTTTTGCTCTGAGGTTAGCACACTTCCTCAGCTCCCGGCTTCTTGAATGTGGCTAGCCACAAGCCTTAACTTCTGCTCTTGCTTGCACTAGTGGAATATTATACTTTTGTTTGGATTCTTCTAACACGCTGAGGAGTTCCTCTCAGCTCTCAACATACCGGATTGATCCAGGTCGACCATTTTAGTACTTACTCCTGGAGAAAAACTTCACTTGAAATTGTCCAAAACTGGGACAGCTTTTAGTCTCTTGACAATAAGTGACCATGTACCAAGCTAATACTTCACAAACATGGAATTAAATATTAGCTGCTTTTAAGAGTAGAGGGGGTTGGCAAGGCTTCAACACTGGTTCTGCACCCACCTCTTTCTCTGAGGCTTGCCTCTCCATTTGGCATTGTATTTCACTGTGCAGCCTGATTTGGTCACCCTTGCTAATTAAATACCAGCAAGCTCCAAGCCTAATATAACTAATTCCTGCCATAGATGAGTGGATTCCGCTTACGATACCCAAGCTTGCCAATTCCTATTCATGTCAACATTTCTAGCACCACTGACCAAAGAAGCAAATTACCCCTTCCACCAGGTGGAAGTTGTCCATCCAGAAGACTCTAAGCTTCCCCAAAGTCTTCTTGACTAGCTTACTCCCACACACATAGAATAGAATAGAATGGAATGGAATGGAATGGAATGGAATGGAATGGAATGGAATGGAATGGAATGGAA